AAGAAGAAGAAGAAGAAGAAGAAGAAGAAGAAGAAGAAGAAGAAGAACCCTAGCCAGAACATTGCCCCTTCTACAAGTTTAGGATACTCAGGGATTATCCAAGAGCACAGATTGTAGAGCTGAAATTCGGAGGCCTTGTACTTAAGGGACCTAAGTAGGGTCCCTTGCTCTTCCTAGCCTGCAGGTAGCAGGGAAAGAGTCTCACAATCACAGCCTCAAAAGACTAGGTAGAGGAAGTGGGGTACTAGTCTGGGAGAGAGAAGGCAGTGGGAGTCTGTGAGGGCTTGGATCCTTAAAGGTCATCAGTGCATTTTCCAGGTGACCTTTTGGGATGAGGAACAAGAGGCCCAGACGTGGCCTCGACTGCCTGCAGAAGTCCCTGCTCTTCTATCACCGGTGCCTTCCCTTCTCAACTGGACAGTAAGCAGGGTGGACAAACCTGGGAAAACCCCTCCTATTCCCTGATGCTCTTCCAAACCCCTGTCCCATAGAGAAACATCCTCAGGGTCACCTGGCAGGAAGGGCAGTGTCTGCTCCTCCCATTCCAGCATCAGGCTTTAGAACTACCTACTCCTGCCCTGTTGTGGGAATTGGGGGGCCCTCCTTCCCTACTTAGGGGCCTTCCCCTTTAAGAAGGCCAACCCAAAGGAAGGGAGAACCTGGTCCCCTAGTCTCCTGTGGGAAGCCAGTCCCTTTCCACTAGCAAGATGAAAGAGTAAGCAACGGGCTGCTGCTTGTTTAAAGAACGTTGCGGGGGACCCAACTTGACCTCAATTTCCACAACTTTATGGGGAGGGGGAGAGCCCACATCCGGACTGTATTAATATTCTTGCCTTAACTCGGAGCAGAGCCTCTAGGGAGAATAGACCAGGCAGGTCGTTGAGGAAGGCCATTAAGCCTCATTGGCCAGAGCAATTCACATCATCTCATAAAAAGCCGTGATGAAGCCATTAGCAGCTGTGCTGGAAAAAAAAACATCCGTGGGCTCCTGGCGGCAGTGTCAGGGGCATCCTCTTAGCAGCAAATGCATTTGCTGTCCCCACCAGGCCCTGCAGCCCCAGCGGCTGAAAGGCTCTGGCGGGGGGGGGGGGCAGCATCGCTTGGTAATCTCCTCACACTGCCTCCCATGTAATAGTCCATGGTTGAGTGTATCTGCTCAGGGAGACCCTCAGAAGCTCTTGCAGCAGGCCTGTTCTCTGTGGCTGAAATATTCCTCATGATCACACGATCAGGCCATTTTACTAGCTAAGCCGTGGCTCAGTGAGACTTCCCAGCATGCCCATGTGTGGGGCCCCATTCTCACCTTCTGAAAGGCCCTCCTGACCAAGACACATTCAACAAGTAACTGGCATTGTCTCCTCTGTGGCCTCGTGGCATTCTCCCAAGGCCTAGGACTGAGTGACCATTATCATCCCAGTCTACAAAGCAGGAGATTGAGGCACTTCCTTGTCTTCCCTTCCTTGAGACTCACACAACCAGTAGGTGAGCTCTCTGGGATGCCCACCCAGGCAATTTGACCCAGCATTGCTTTCTTAACAGGCAATGTGTGGTTGTAATATGATCAATGCAATAAAAAGAGGGCCTTCCTCAAACATAATCAGGCCACACCAACCTCTTTCTCTCCCTCCCTTATCCCTCCTAATAGACTCTGGGTCCAGCAGTCCTTACTTTGGCCTTAGGGATCAGGGACATCCCCCTGGGTTTCTGGGTGCTTCCTCAGAAGGCCTAATTACTTAGCTATCTCTACCATGTCAGCTGCATGGATATGGGGAGCCAACCTCCACCAAGAAGTGCAATGACTCTCCCTTATGCCTGAAGAATAGACATAGGGAAAATGAGAAAGTTCCTAGACAGAAAGGAGTTCAAGACATCCTCCGTTCATGGAAAAATTCTCCCAAATACTTATTGTAAAGGTCTGAGGAAGAGATTTAAGTTGGACAGAACCCTGTTGATGACAAGAGATCCACCATAAGAACAGCAGTCATTGACTTTGCTGTCAGCTGTGGGCCACACTTTGGGTCAGTCACTGTATTTCTATCAGTAGTACGTAGCTATTGTCTTTCATCTTAACTCCCTAAAGTGAATTATCATGACTATCATCATTAATATTATTTCCATTTTACAGATAGAGAAATTAAGACTGAGAAGATAAACCTCTTTGCAGTGCTGAATAATCAAGATGGAGACAAATCAGAATCACAGAAACCTGACTTTCCAGGCCTGGAAGCCCTGCCTATCCTCTCCCTACCCCAACCACACCCAAATGCACATTTCTGTCTCCTCCACCAGCCAGCCATCCCTTCCCCTCTCCTTGCCTCTGAGAACGGCCCTTCCCCAGGCCCTTTCTGCTTGCACCAGGAGCATCAACCACAATGACAGCAGCCCTCCTGCACTTGGAGGCCTTGGCTCTTCCCAGAGCCAAGGACACGAGGTTCCCAGCAACTACAAATGGGTAGATTTAATTGATGAATTGACTGGGATTGTCCAGTCACCTGTCAGGGCCGATGAAATAGCAGATTTATAGCAAAAGACGAGTAGCCTCATATTTCTCCCGCTCCAGGATGCGAGCTGCTGTCTTCAGGGTGTGGGGGAGCTGGGGAGCATTAGACACGCCATTCGTTTCTGCTTACGGTTCTGACAGTGCATTGCCGTCGTGAAACATCACCCTCAGGTGTAAAACAATAGCATTTTGCACTTAGGTTGGGTTCATATTTTACCTTCCCAAGGCACCTGTCATCTCAAAATGCGGAAGCTCTTAAATAAACATTAATTTAGCCTCACCCTATCTGCCAAGGGGAGGGAGCGAACAACAGATCCATAGGAGGGAAACTGAGGCACTGCCAGCCAGATATCTGGATTGCTTGCCACATGGAGAGTGAAAAGCAGGGCAAATCATCCAGTGCATAAATGTAGGCGCAATGATACACAAGGGAAGCAGCGGGACTTCAGTGTCCCAGTCTGAGCCCAGGGAGTCTAGCGTGGCCTGTCCAGGACTTCATCTCCTGCTCCAGAGATCTACAGAACAGCGATGTTGCAAAGAATCACGGAGATGGGGTGCTACAGAGTCTTGGATACAGTCTGACAGAACTGTCTGTCTTCTAGAGGCTCACATCACCTGCTGTGTGACCTTATGTAAGTGACTTAGCCTTTCTGGGCTGCACTGTGCTCATTTCCAAAAAAAAAGCAGGGTGAGGTGGAACAGGAGAAGTTGCCTGTCTTACCTGCCTCATGGGGTTGCTGAGTGTGAAGGAGGGTGAAAGCCTCAACCTCCCTAGCGAAGATCTACGGGTGGGAGGTTCCAGGCTGCCTAAAACGATCAGCCTCCAGCGCTTCAGAGTCTGCAGTGCTCCAGCACCCAAAGCCCTCCGTTTCCTCTTAGCTGACTCCTTACCCTTCCCGACCCCTTCCCAACTCCTCCTCGACTCAAGGCTTTCATCACTCTAGGAAACACACAATGCACCAGCTGAGTGCTCCAGAGCATTCCAGGGAAGGCGGAGGCATCAAAAGGCAACTAAAGGGGCTAAGCCTTGGCACAGAGCTGAGTTTGTGAAGGAGCTGCGCCAGGTACAGCTGTCAGGTTAGAGCTGGGTGCCGCAGGCCAGTTACTCCACAGGTCGGCCTTTGCTGAGCTGGAAGGTGCCTGGGACGAAGAGGCTGGTCCTGGAGGCTTCCCTGAGA